CATTCCTGCCTTGGCAATCGCGGCGGCCCGGCGGTCGGTCTTGTTGTGTGGGCCTGGTGTTGTTGGAGGACGGATCCGTGAGAGATGGGCGCTCTGGCGGCAAAGCCCCGGCCGCGGAACTCCGAAAAGAGATCTGACCCTTTTCCCCCCTGGTGTTATCCCCGTGTCGATTGGCTGGCCAAACATACATACATCCCTGCCCTCCTCTCCCCCTACCCCCGGGGATGTCAATCTCGCACTTACACGTGTATAAACTCCACGGAGCTGAGCTGGCTGGGCTCAGACAAGGTTTTGAGGAGAGAAAAAAAAGGAAAACGGAAATGTCCAGCCAGCGCATTCGAGAAATATGCCTAGAAATAGCAAGGACGTTGCGACGGCGCGCGCCGGAGAGTGAGGCTGAGCTTCTTTATTCTTTTTGGGCGATGCCGGCCCCGTCCAATGATTGATTGTGCATGGCCAACTGCCCGCATTGGGATGATGAAGGCAGTCACACACCAGACTTGGCAACCCCTCAGCCGCACAACAGCCTCGAGCGCGTCCCGGGCCGAATTCTTTTCCTACACCGAGCACGCGAATATCGCAAATGCACATGTACCTATATAATGGACAAGGCGCTCTGAAATCTTTAAAGTCGAGCGAGAGAGAGAGAGAGAGAGAGAGAGAGAGAGAGAGTAGACAAGATCTGCAGCAAACGAAACTAACTTTTGCCGTCGGCACTTCGAAAAGGGCACAAACGACAAGAGAAGTGAAGAGGGGAATATCTCCAAAAGTCGACAAATCCCGAAAATGTCGCCAGCGGCAAAAGACAGAAAAGAGGCAGTGACCATGGGGAGTCGCAATTCTATTACGATCAAAGAGGCGCCGAGCGAGCTCAGGGCTAGAGGCCGCATCTTGCCCGGCGCGCGCTCCCGGCTTGAGGCGCGCGGCCCGCGCGGAGGCGGCGGCTCGGGAGGAGGCCGAGGCGGCTCGTCGTCCCACTCGGGGTCTTCTTCTTCTTCTTCTTCTTCCTCGGGCTCCAAAGGAAGCAGCTCCTCTTCAGGCTCGGGATCTGGTTCAAGCTCCGGGTCCGGGTCGTCGACCTCGGGAACCAAAAGCTCTGGGTCCTCGGGGTCGGGGACTGGCGCGGCGACTGGCGCTGGCATTGGCGCTGGCGTCGGCGCTGGCGTGGGCACTGGCGTGAGCTCCGGCACATCTGGGTTCTCGGGCACCAAGACGGGAGGCACGGCCGGGGCGCCCATCATCATCATCAACAACAACAACAACCGCCCGGCGCAGGGGGGCGGCCCCGCGATTCCCGTCTGGGCCATCGTTGTCATCATCGTGGGCTCGCTGATGGTGCTGTTGTTCCTGTGCGCCCTCATACACTACTACAGAAAAGGTAAGTGAAAAGAGAGAGAAAAAGGAGACCCCCCAAACTCACACCCTTCACCCTCATGCTATAAAGAATCGTACAAGACTAACCCCACCCCGCACGCACAGAGCGCAGGTCAGGCATGGAGACGGGCAAGAAATTCCGCTTCGGCCGTGTCCTGTGGAAAGCCTTGCAGGTAGCGCTGGGCATCTGGGTCGTCAAGCAGCTGGTGAAGTGCTGCTGCATGCGGCGGCGGTACAAGAGCAAGGGCGGTGTAGCCGGCGGCATGTACGACAAGGTTGGCGGCGGCGGGGGCGAAGACGGGTTCGGCGGCGCTGCTGCTACGGGGCAAAGGGACATGGCATGGGCGGAGGAGCCATCGACAGCAGCGGCAGCAGCTCCGTACGGCGACGGCGGCGCGGGCAAATACGGCTACAACGCGGTACTCGGCGGCGGCGCGGCTAGCGAGGACAGCAGGACGGAATTCTCCGTCTCCGTCATGTCGTCCGTTGGCAGCGGGCCTCCGCCCGAGATGGGCGCCGTAGCCAGCACGACGCCGCAGATCATGCCGCCGGCGAACACTGCCGCGTCTGTCTCGGCGGTATCCGGAGGAGGAAGATCGAGGTCGTCGTCATTGGTCAGCGGCGCTGGTGGCGGCGCGGCCGCGCAGTATTATTCCAGCCACCCGCTGTCTGTGTCGCCCGAGCCGTCGCCCGGCCCGGCCGCCGTCATGTTCCCGCCATCGCCTGCTTCTACCGCCGTGGGCCCTGCTGTGCCCAGTGGCTACAGGACCAGCGAACATGCCATGTCGGCCCCGTACAACGGAGGCGGCGAGCGGGATCCTCTGGCCCCTGGCCGTTCCTGAGAGGCGGGCCGGATGGTCGAGGAACGATACCTGATTCTACACCCGGCTGTTCATGAGGCGGTGTGTTTTTAGAAGTAGCAGCATTTGCATTTTACGCTCGGTACACGGCGTCTTGCTTTATCGTTTTTGTAGAGGAGGGCATCTGCATGACAAATTTGTATAGATTTCTTCTCATATTGTGCAGTCTTTATCCTCCGCTGCGTTCTGCGGGTGATTGGCTTGGAGCTAATCGGCGGAGGGGATCAATGTCGATACCTTTGCTTTCATGTAATACCATATCATATCGCACATATACGACTGTACGAAGGACCCTCGATGGCCATCATTGAGCTCGAAACATTTGACCTGAGCCAGGCCGGACTTTAGAACACCCCCACAGGATAAGCCGGAGCAATATTTGCCGAATTCGGAGTGATCACCGGCACGCTGTCGAATACCTTTGTCTCGACAGTCATGTTGGCAAAAGCAGGTATTCTCCTCACGGGCACCAAGTCGCTGACGTGCCTCGCAATGTTGAGCAACAGACACTCGGTCCACGGCTGGCCTAGGATCTCCATCCCAACGGGCACGCCGAGGAGCGCGTCCTCGGTTGGCGACGAGAAGCCAGCCGGCACCGTAACGACGGGGCTGCCTGTCAGTGAGGCCAGTATACCGTTCCGCCCGGCTTGCGATTGCGAGCTAACCGTGACGACAAGGTTTTTCTGCTCCGGGTAGATGAGTGCGTCGAGCTTGTCGCGGGCAAACGTGGCCTTGAGCGCCTGCGTCAGGTTCTGAATTCCGCGCTGCGCCGTGAAGTAACTGGTATTACTGGTAGACGAGCGGAACGCCGCTTCGATGAACGCGTGCTGGCTTGGGATGACCAGGAACTCGCCGCTGCCGTTTCTGTAAAGCTCCTTGAAGCTCTTGGGGCGCGGCTCGCCACTGAGGTCTTCCCCTGCCAGGTACGTGTCCAGGAGCTCTCGGTACTCGTATACCTGCACATCGAGAGCCGCAGAGATAGCCACAGAGTTGTAGATGGTTTCGGTGATATTGACTACTTCGGCACCGGCCGCTGTGAGCTGAGAGACCATACCCGCCATGATGTCGTCGACTGGTGGGGTTTCGGGCGAGGACGTGTGATCAAAAAAGCCGTCAACCAGACCTAGCCGCAAGCCTTTGAGGCTGCCGCCAAGGAGACACCTGGAATGATCCGTGTGCATGATCTCTGTCGCCATCAGGGCCGTGGCGTTATCTCTGGGATCGAAGCCCACGCTCACCATGACAGTCATGGCGACGGCAAGATCTTGCAAGTTGCGAGCAAAAGCGCCAACCACATCTTGTGTGTAGCTGACAGGGATGACGCCGACACGCGATATCAGGCCTCTCGTGGGACGGAAGCTGAACAAAGAGCCGGCGCTGGCGGGGCTCCTGAGCGAGTTGACTGTATCGGTGCCCGTTCCCACCACCGCAAAGCTCGCAGCGATGGCCGCCCCAGCACCGCCGCTACTCCCCCCTGGCGTTCGAGTCAAGTCATAGGGGTTCACAGTTTGTCCTCCTAGAGACGAGACGGTCAGGCCTTCCAGAGCCAGTTCGTGCAGGTTTGTCTTCCCAAGGATAATGGCGCCGGCACGTTTCAACGCCTTCACGGTAGGGGCATCTACCAGCGGCCTGTTATTTGCCAGATCTAAGCAGCCTCCTGTTGTGTTCATCCCAACTGCGTTGTAGTTGTCTTTGAGAAGAACGGGGATGCAGAAAAGAGCACCCGTCATGTTGCCAGACGCAATCTGGCCGTCCATCTGGTCGGCATCCAAGAGAGCATCTGGGTTTAGTGAGATCACGGCGTTCAAGATGGGGTTGAAATGCTCTATTCGAGCTATGAATGCCGAAACGACTTCTCGACATGTTGTGAGGCGAGCCAGGAGGGCGCCGTGCACGCCGTCGACCGTGGCTTCTCGAACATCAAAGTGGTCAGAGAGTGCTACCGAGGGCCTAGCTAGAGAGGCCATGGCCAAGCCATGAACGACAAGTCTGGCAAATTTTGCCATGGAGAGCGCTATTCTATTATTTCATTTGGGATCTCTTTTTGATATCTTCACCGAGGGACGTTGACAATTAGACCCCTGTTGCAGACCATGGTGAGTTGAGGTGACTTGTCCAGGGTAGGCGATATTGACGATATGCTCCGTGCTCGGTTGTCAGATGGCGACAAGGACAATGACGGCATATCCGCGTGAACACACCTCCAGCAGCTGTTGTGGACGCTGATGGAGGCCGGGCAGCCAGCAGCGTCGTCTGTTGGAGATGCTGAGCCGAGAGCCGAGACGGTTCCACATTAAACCCGGCCTGGTCTCGCCGGCTTGTCCCTTCCGGAGCACGGCATCAGCTGGACTAAAACTGGCCTTGGATTATGCTGATTACCTATACACGGAATGTGAGCTTGTCGGTCTGTAGTTCAACTGCTGATTTAGGATTCTGTAACACACCTAGGTGAGAAAACACGGCTGATCTGGTCCAATTTGGCCTAGAAAGGGGCTTGGACCGATGGTGGCCTGGATGCGGGCGAATAATAGTAGTAGATCGGCGAAAGAGTATGTTGGGAAGGTTTGTCTGGCTGTGATGAAGAGCTCCCGGGCGGAGACGGTCTCAAGCAGTCCGTTGCCTTTTAGTTTTTTCGAAAAAGTCTTGATCCGATACCCAGGTCTGCCAGCGACCAACGAAACGAGATCGAGGGAGCAGTCATTCCCGAAAGGATATTGCGAAATAAAAGATAAAGAACTAAATTACATTATAAAAAAGAAAAGAAAACACCTCCGGCGGGACTCGAACCCTGAACGTCTTCGTCAGCATTAGATCAAAGCGGAGGAAGCCATGGGAAGTTGTTAGTGTTAAGGACGCCAAACCTACCGCAATCCTCAGATTAGGAGTCTGATGGGTTACCATTTCCCCACGAAGGCCTCCAAAGCTACGTGTTCGCGTGCAAGCAGTTTGACCGCTCGGCCACCCTGCCATTCTGCGAGCGACGACGGCTCTTTCTTTGTTTGGTGTGTGCTACCGCGTTTTCACCTATGAACCACCGGGCACTAGTCGCACTGGGCTCGGGGTACGGTGTGGTTCAAAGCGCCTTCTCAAAACAAGATGGGACAAAAATGGGAAGGAAGAAAACGAAAAGAGAAGAAAGAAGAAAAGTAAGTAAGGGCCTTAACGGCCACAGCCCCACGCATCCTCACCCACGCCACACCAACCCATCACTCCTGCCATGAGCCAACTTGTAGTCAGTCAGTTACCTGCCACACCGCCTGCTACCTTTAAATTCTAGATATAATTGATATCACCCTAGTACCAATGGGCCCAGGGCCGTCTCGCGCCTTCCCACTCGTGCAAGCCAGGCTAGGCTATACCAAACCACATCTCCTTTCCGTCTTGACGGAAACGCGGAATCATGCAGATCAGGTGTCTTCGCCAAGTATGGACGGGTACTGTCACTACTACTGGCGAGTAGTACTGCCGGCCGCGGAGAGTTTGCCTTGGATCCTAGCTGGCGTCGGACGGAAGTCTATTGGAGGAAAAGAAAGAAGAAAGAGTGCACAAATCCTGGCACAACGTAGAATGAGCCCCTTTTCGAAGACCCGTCTCCCTTCCCTTAGATATCAAGATCCCAGCCCACAAAACAAATAAACAGCATAACCTCACGGGGCGCCAGAAGCGACAGAGAAAACCTTCTACTAATAGTGTATTACATGGGGGAAAAAAAAAAGATCATGTAGTCAGCCAGACTATTAAACAGGCATTCTTTCCACTTTTTCCACTTCATTCCACATTTTATACAACCCTCCCACAAGCCACATGCGCATTCACGCTCGTTTTTTCTTCTATAAAATTTCACAGCTCCTTCTTGTCCCCCCCTCGGCCGTTCGCCTTGACGCGGACTTTGACAGCCGAGCCGGGGGGCGTCTTGAGGCCGAATAGGGTCAGCAGGCTGACGACGGAGATGCCGACGGCGCCCATGCCGTAGGCGACTTCGCGGCCGGCCCACCAGTAGACGCTGGTGAACAGCAGCGGGCCGAGGCCCCTGCCGAGCTGGCCCCAGCTGCGGAGGATGCCGAGCTTGCCGCCGCGCTCGCCCTCGGCGGCCTCGAAGCTGCTCAGCGCGTTGAGGCCCATGACCACGGTGGCCGACGTCGTGGCCAGGCACGTCGCCGCCACGTACAGCGCCGGCACCGTCGACGCCCGCGCTAGCAGCGCAAACGCTACCACGCACGACACCACGCCTATCCGCACCGACAGCAGCGGCGGCAGCCGCCGCGTCACGCCGCCCTGCAAGATCGACGCCACCAGCCCTACGTACCCCAGCAGCCTCCCGTTGTTGGCCGAGCTGTAGCCGAACAGGTCGTACGTCATGAACGGCAGCGAGAACTCCATGCCCGAGAAGAATAGCAGGAACGTCATGTGCACAAAGTTGAGCAGGAAGTGCGAGTTGGTCCGCTGCACGGGGGCGGCGGTGGCGGTCGCCGAAGAAGAAGAGGTCACCTCGGCCGGCTTATTCACCATCGACGGCAGCGTCTCGGGCAGGTAGAGGTACAGGTAGACGGTCTCGGTGACGATCAGGAACAGCGAGACGCCGGCGGCGGTGGCGAAGGGGTTGGCGGCGACGGTGCCGATGGAACTGAGCCAAGCGCCTAGCGCCGGGCCGAAGGTGAAGGAGATGGAGAAGCAGGCGCCGATGAGGGCCATGGTGGACCCGCGCGTGTCGGCGTCCGAGATGTCGGTGGCGATGGCCGTGGCCAGCTGCACGTTGCCCTCGGACAGGCCGCCGACGATGCGCGACGCCAGAAACGTCCGGAAGTCGACCGCCACCACCCAGAGCAGCACCGACACAATGTTGCCCGCCATGCTGGCCAGCAGGGCGTTGCGCCGCCCGAATCGGTCCGATAGGTGCCCTATGACGGGCGAGGCGATCGCCTGGAGGATCCTGTATGGCAAATCACAAAGGGTGTTAGTTGGTTAGGCCGAGACAGGTTCAGGAGGGAAGCAAGGGGTGAAGGGAGGGAAAGGGGGGTTAACGCACGAGAAGAGACTCCCCAGTGCCCCGCCCAGCAGAACAATGTCATATCGCGAGTCAATTGGCCGGGCAAAGGCCGCCTTGTATGCGTTGAGGTATCCTAGTATGCTCGAGAGGATCGTCTTTGACGGCGCGGCCGCGGCGTCGGCGTCGGCCTCGACATTGCGGTAGAACTCGAGCAAGTTGGGGAACAGCGGGAGGATGAAGGTGAAGGAGATCTGCGGGAGCAACCAGTAAAAGCAAGATACGTCAGTAATGTCCAACGGGTCGGGTCGACTGGCTTGCTTCCCAGGCTAGCAAGAGGCCGGGGGGAAGCTACTGTACGCACCAGGTCCAGTAGCAGGGAGATGAAGATGACCCTCAAGACGGTTTTGCGGGTCGCAGCAGCAACTGGTGGCGCCAGGCCCATTGCTAACGACGGCTTGGAGTTGGGGGAGCTCTCCCTCGGACAAAAGGGTCTTGGTGTTGGGTTTCCTTGGCGCGTAGAGATCGCGGAGTCGCACACACTGTTGCGTGATGGTTGTTTCCCGGTATGGAGGTGAAGGTTGGTGGCACAAGCGAGGATGCAATGGAATTGCCTCTCTTTCTGTTCTTTTCTTTCTTTTCCCCGATTCCTCTATCACGGCCCGCACGCATATAGAAATTATGGTAGATAGTAATACTAGCAAGGAAAAGAAGAAGACACGAAAGCGAATGGAAAAGCGTCCCGAGCGAAGTAGCGTTGCAGCATCGAGCTGTTTGAACAACGTGTTGACACTCTCAGTCTCCGGACCCCCTCTGCAGCAGCGATTAACCAGGAGGGTCTCCCGCCATACGCTAGCAGCTACAGTGCTTCAGCCACAGGGGACTCCCCCGCCACCCCTTCCCCACTTATAGTCCCCGTCTATACGATCGGTACTCTGTAATACTCTCGATACGAAGGAATTACGGATACGCCGCGCAGGCCAAATCATTCATTTCTGCAATAAAACCCGAAGGCTCAACCTGTGTTGTTGCTTACGTAACAGGCCCAAAAATGCAATAAAAACCTGCCCTGCTGCTTTGTTACGCTTCAAATGCTACAGCCAGAGCCCTCGTAGTACGACGGGTTGTTGCACCACGTGTAGAAGCCTTCGTAATGTTTGGAGACATGGTCCGCAAAATAAGCGAGCGGCTTACGTCCTTGTTTTGCTGCTATTCCATTTGTATGCGTACGTAGGAGGGAACTGTGAAGGTAGGAAAACATGGAAACATTGTTGAGAATTGAATTATAATAGTTGTATCGCTATCGGTCCGTCCCAATCGATTCTTCCCTTCATACGCGACCAATTCCTCAGCCACTCTCCCAATCCTAACAAACACCTCAGTGATTCTTTAGCAGCGTATAGATCGAGGTCATCGGAATCGTGTCCAAGCTGTCGCAAAATCAGGCAGGTCTCCGCGTCTAAAGATAAATAAATTAGCATATACAGTTATGTTCTAGCAACCCCAGTGATATATACTTACGAGTCTGCTGGTACAGCTCGGGAAGCGTGACTGGACAGACCTCTTTGCACTGGGGATCAACGAGCCGGACAAGAATGCATTCCGACCGAGATGCAAGGTATCGAGATCGATTTTTCTAGCGGCGATCTCGGTTGATGTTCGTGGTATTCAGGTCATACCACTGAGGGCTGGGTCCAAGAGGGAGTGTGGTAGTACTACCAAGAGGGGGGTTGGGATTGTTATGTTCTGTATGGTTTTGGTGGATGTGTGCGCGAGCCCCGCGCGATCACGTGCCTCATTAATCGGGCAAGTGGGTCAGCACGTGACTACGACGCCTCACTCCTTTGCCTGTAGCCACGAATGGCCGCTATTCCAATACAATCCACTGAATGTTTGTTGGCGTGGTACTTACGAAGGAAAAAAAAATATCAAATGAACCGGCCAGGAAGGGTCTTTGATAGGTATTTCTAGAGAAGCAATAGACCTCTAGGATTCCAAAATAGGGGTTCAAATAGCTATTACCTCCCTTAGCGAAAAACCTTGACGGCGAGTCCTGAGATGCTAAGGCCATTTGGATCTTGGAAAGTACCACACCAACAAACATTCAGGGATTGGATTGTACCTAAATTGATGAGGATGTCTCTTCGGACCGTAAAAAAAAGTCTATTCGAACCGAGGTAGGCAAGGTACATTGAAATCCCCGCCAAGCCACTCCTGCTTCGACGCCCACGGCGCGCAGGGCCCGAGGCAAGGAAAAAAACTCGAAACATGCGCCGTGTGCAGCGCCGCAGTCAAGATGAACCCAGGGGCCCACGCCGCATCTCATTCGGTGGCCGGCCGTCGGGAGCCCGCTCATTAACAGCCAATGCAGGAACGAGGTCGCCCGTGCATATCAGATCAGACTGACATTGGCTGCATCCTCCGACCGCCTCCACAGTCTGTCTGCTGCCTGCCTGCCTGCCTGTCTGTCGTCCCCGCGACCACGCAAGGGAGTTCCCACCCCCCAACGGACGATCACCCGAGAAGCTTAATTCAGGCCGATCAAGGCCTTCTTGACCTTGGGCCGGGGGAAAAGGCCCTCGAGGCTATGCTCTGATTTGTGATGTGCTGCCAGGGCAGGGAGCAGCCGTGCATTCAGCATTGTCTTGCCTTGTCACTGACGCGGTCTGTTCACGTCCGCCGGCCTATAGTCACTCTACACTATACTCTGTCCTACCCTTCATTATTTCATTATACAGAAATCTTGATTGCAGGGCACACCTCCTCTTTAGCCGCCAGCGCCGTGCCCAGCTCGGTGTGCCTGCCTCCTTCCCCCGGCCCCAATGCATCGGATAGTATGTACATACATGTAGTACTTGGAGTTGCCGCACGACGCCATGTCGGCGTTGGCCGCCCCTCCCCTGGGAATCCGTGCCTTCGGATTCGACAGGC